GAGGTGGGATGCGGAGGGGTCGAGAAAGAGGCGTCTGATGACACCCACTTCTGAAGGCTTCTTCGGGAGGTCGATATCTTATAATATATGAGCGGTTGTCCAAGTCTTTTGTGTGGTGTGTGCATTGCTATACGAACCGTCTATATCTGCGGGACTGTCCAAATCGATGCGTAAGATGCGCCCGGTGGACAGAGCCAGGACGACGACATTATTCGCTACTGCAGCCGCTACAAAGTCGGAAGATACTGTGAACTGTAAAGCCACGCGCTCTATGCTGAACATGGGGCCCGAGGCGTCCTCCTGCATGTTGCTTGTGCTGGGCGGCGCATACCCGCTCGAGGTGTCGTAAGCCATGGTGGGCTTGGAATGTAGCTCTCAGCTATCGTGGGCTCGTAGTCATTGTTTGTGCGATCACCCGCTGTCTCAGTGCTCCTTCTCACTCTGCTGCGGCTTTGGCTGTAGCTGTGGGCGCACCTGCTCGGTGGTGACGCCTAAGCTTGGAGCTTGGACTTCGGCGATGGAGCGGAGATAAGCCGGCGTTGGCGTCGCGTCATGTGAGTTCGCGTTTGGCACTCGATTGACCTTCCCCTACAACCCCGCTTCTCTAGACCATCAATGAAAGGTAGGTCTCTGATACTTTGCAGGCGCAAGATTGATCACGGTGAATACGGTGTGTACATGGGAATTACTGAACGTCTGCAGGACAGGACCGCGCATTCACGATGCTATGGCCGTGGAACCCTCTTGCTACTGCGCCTTCCCTTTGCACCACGATTATTTGATCTCGATCTCCGTTGCCTCAGTTTCCCGGTTTCTCCACCTCGTAAATTGACAACTTTGCCTACCAACCGCTTAAATTCCGCAGCACCCTCCCACTCAATTTCAAGGCACGCATCATGTAGAGCAACCCCTCAATATGTCTTTACAGTTACTGACAAGGTTAGGGATCTCGGCAAAGAAATGGTACGTGTGACCGTGGGCACCAGTAAAATACCCTTCACATTTCACAAGAAACTCCTCCGCTGGCAGTCTGAGTACTTCTCTCGCGCATTCGGACCCAACTTCAAAGAAGGCAAAGATGGCGTCTTGCATCTTCCCGAGACCTCTAAGACGACTTTTCGCCTTTTTCAGACTTGGGTCTACCTTCAAACGACTCGATCACCTCCAGGTATTAGTGAGGTGGAAGCCCTATTAAGCCCTGCAGCGCGCATGATCCGATCTTTGAATGCTGATGTCTCAGCTCACACGCGTACAAGGATGGAAGAGACAAATCAAAACAGATCAGATGCTGACTCCGACTGTAACAACGATGTTTTGAACAGCCTCTTCCATCTCTATCGCTTTGCGGATGCATACGAGTGCGTCAAATTGCGCAATGATGTTATCAGCGCCTTCAGCGACCTTACGAAAGATGGATTGGCTCCCGACCCCGAAACGATTGCTTTCATGTTCGAAGAATTACCTCCTTCTTCTACCATCTGTCAATACTTCGTCAAGAGTGCTGCGCTGAATTGGGGCCACTACAGGGGCCCTTATCGAGCGCTACTCGAGGCTACACCGCTGCCCCAAGATTTCTTGGTAGAAGTTGTGCGCATCAACCACAAGCTTGCAAGCAAAGGCAAAGGAATGGATGCACTATGCAACGAGATACAAGATCGCTGTAACTTCCACGAGCATGCAACGGAAGATGAAAAGCAGCTTTGTAAGTCAAGAATCCTTCAGGACGCGCCGTACATAGACGCTCTTATCTTGGCGTGCTTGGAGGTCTCGAGAGACGTTCAAACGACATGATTGATCATGTCAGCGCTTAGGGTATGCACTTTTCCTCGAGAGTGGAGCCAACTACTGGATGTTGACGTGTTTGGTCAGGATCATCCTAATCTTCGCTAGTCTACAGCTACAACACGTGTCTTGAAGACATCTCGTCATCTCTTTTTCTTTCTTCATAAGACCGACCCAATCTTCTACGTCTCCAGCATTATCGACATTCTTCAGCCACTACCCTTCAATATGACATCCGCAATACGCTGTTTACTCTCCTCATCATCTCCACTCCCCTAGCCCATACGTTAGCACATATCCTCAACTTCATCAGCACAGCACGACCTACCGTCAAAAACACCTTCCGAAACTCATCCTCCTCCAGATCAAACCAATTCGTGATATCCCTATGACTTCTATCCCACGGCCACTTCTCATAAAGCCTACGAATAACCCCCTGATACACCTTAACCCTACTAAACCCAGCAGCGCGCAAGCGATAAATACTCGGCGCAAACGCCTTCAACAAACTTCGCAGGACAGGCCACTGCGGGCGCTCGGGGTAATATCCTTCCTCACCTGCATGGTTATCCATCTGGAAGATAATCTTCACATCTTTGTTAGTCACCATAAAAAGGTTTTCCAGATCAGCTACAACACGCGCGGAGCCACCCCAAATCTGATCCCAGCTGAGATCAATGCGTATGTATCGAATGATATCGGCAGGCACGACTCCTCTTTTCCAGACATCTTGCGTGAGGAAGGTTCCTAGTAAGCAAGCACCCGGGGTGTACATGATGAAGCCGCCAGTGCGGTACCAGTGCTCTGTTATCTCTTTCGCGACTGCTTCACCCGTGTACTCGGCGTACCTCCAAGTATCGCGATGCATCGTAGGGTCTTCAGGTAAAGGCGGTTGAGCGTCGAAGAAAGACCGGCCACCGCGGTCGTGAGTGAAATTTCGACTTGAGCGTATTCCAGTATCTACCTCACGACAATCAACAACGTAATGTTGCCTGCGGGGAGGAATGAGATGGTCGTAGACCATGTCCCTCACTTCGCGAGGAAGGACTGCGTGGAAAGCTTTACAGAAATTGAGCTGAGATTGGCGATGTTCTTCGTGAAGCGCAAGTAAGCGGGTCGGGCTGTCGTTGTTCGGTTAATGTATGTTCTTACGTGGAGTGGGTGAAGCGTACTCGACTGGATCAGGTTTGGGATCAGGTTTCCGACGTGGATATTTTCTACATGCAATCAGTCGCCTGTTACCTTACATGAGACTTGGACAGTATAACATACGTCTTCCGCTCCAGTGCGTGTGAAGAGTCATAATGGCCGATCTTCATTGCGGATCAGTAGTCAATGAGACAGACCGTCAGTCTCATGCGAAGTTATTGGGATTAGGTAAGCATAAGATGTAATTAATGTTCATCTTCAATTGTAGGGGCGCAAGCGCGTCTTATCCCCAAAGACGGGAAGATAATTGTGGCGGAGTCATCAACTTGCAGGCAATAAGACGCGAAGGAACACGACGCTAGTCCGGACGCGTACCTGAGTATCAGCCAACCGAGGCTGCAGCAGACAAACATCAACTCGTACGAGTTATGAAGTCATGCATAGCTTCATTCCATAAGGCTACTCGATGTTCTGCCTGCCTAACAATTCTCTAGTAGAGACCCTTATACCCCCTCCGAGTACATGCAGCGCACAATGTACACGAGCCCAGCGATTGTTCAGATGTTGGGATTTGCCGTCAACGCCCAGTTTTCCTGCCATAACATTAGAAGACATCAAACCGAACCTTTCAGCAACATACCAGAGAACCCATGAACAGCCCTTCTTCCACATCAAACAACGACGTGAAGTCCTTGCAACAACCCGCACTCTGTACAGTAACGCGACTCAGCCCCTCCCTTCTTAGCTGGTAAACGACAGGACCCAGCCTCTCTAGTTGCAGCCGTCGAGCCGACATGCTAGTCTTGTGGTGAAGACGTATGTGCAAGTTGACATCCTTGTTCTCGATCTTGCCGAGTGTGCCTCGTAGCTCATCGAAGTAACCAGTCTTGGTTTGGTATTCGCCGACGTGAACGTGCATGTGCTGGATTATAAGGCCTGGTTTGAGGCCTTTGGAGAAAACGTCGCGGTCCAAGAAATCAGGTATCAGGTTCAGTCTACGGTGACTGAAGCAGAACGTCCGACTGCCGTACCAGCTTTCGACTATCTCGGTGGCTACTTCGCGGCCCATGTAGCTGTCGAGCCACCATTTCAGACCGCGCTGTCCACTTGACTTGAGGCCTCGTATCTCCTGGTTGACGAAATCCAATTTTGTGCTATGAATGGCGTCTTTTCTCTTGTCCTTGTGTCCGTTGACGATCTCGCGGTAGTATGGGCCGATGATCTCGCTATACACCATGTCTCGCAGTTCTCGGGGTAGGGTGATGTGCAGCTTTGCGCAAAGTTGAAGACATGTAATCCGGCCTTCCTCAACAGCCTCTGCATGCTTTGCATCGCGTCGGGTCCGTGCTATGGTCCGTTTGTCAGACGGTTCTGACGTCGAGTCATTCAGATTCCGTCGCCTAGGTTCGGTCAGCGATTTCGCGGTGCCGGCGGTGGTATGACGGTGCATACTTTTTGGCGGGTTCTTGTTCTTCTTGATGTGCTCTGAAACTTATTAGCTGATGGGTTCTAACAACCCTGGGAGCATACACTCACTCATTCTGGCGCTTCTTGGTATCCGCAGGCTCATTGTTGGTAGCAAAATACGCTCCAGTCGTCTCAGGGCTGCTTGTAGACATAACCGAGTATCGCGGTAGTGCGATGTAAAGTATACCGAGAGGGTTCAAGTGAAACGGGAAGAGCCGGGAGACAATCCCGAGTGAATAAATTCGGACCACGGCGCAGCGCAAACTCGAGTGACACGCGCACCTACCCCAAAGAAATTTTGACTACATCCTGACCACTAACAGCCTGGCTTTCTGGAGCCTGCGACCCTACTCTCTCTCTCTCTCGATGATTCTTTCCTACGAGTACGGTATGCGTTTCGGCAGTCGCGTGCGGCTCGTCGTCAACGTCTCATTACAGTACCATGGTAGCCCGACCGCGTTGAACGAAAGACACCACATCAGCGAACAATAGGTAAAATGTAAAGTGTCTTTAATCATTCATCAGCAAACTGATTTACAAAAGCGCTAGGGTATCTGCATTTTCCAAACCTAACCAACATCACAAGTGCAATACCACGATGTCTACGCGCGTTCAAAATCCACGCTTCCCCTCATCCTAAACCCGGTACTGATCCTCTCGATCGGACTCTGCCTCTCAGCCCTATCCACACTCAACCGGTTGGCCATCGCAGTCGTGCCATTCAAGCCATTCGTAATCCTCACAGCACCCTTCTCGGGACTCCTTCCCGTACTGCGACTAGCAACAGGAAGCAGCGAGCCGCCATCACCCCAGTGATTCGCTCTCGCACTGCCGAGGTAGCTTTCGATGCTGCGCCTACCGTCGGGGCGGTATGCCGTACTACGCCCGCGACTCAGAGCCTGTTCGATAGTGCGCGTATCGAAGGGGTACTCAAAGTCTGTCTTCTCGATACCACTGTAAGCGTCGGTATCGCGCCGGCTCTGGCGATTTTGAGCTTTGCGTTCGCGGAAGCGGCGTTTGACTTCGCGGAAGAAGTCGCCGATGGCGTCGAATGACAGTGCGATGGCGATGAACGGGATGGAGATGGCGAAGCCGATGCCGAACATGTACTTGCTGACGAATGAGAGAGGAAGCGAAGGCTCGTCGCTACCGGGCCGATGCGGAAATTCCTGGATGTTGATTGTGAACATGGCTGCGATGAAGGATAGAGGGAGGAAGATGATGGTGACAATGGTAAACACCATGATGGTCTGGCTTTGTCTTGCAGTACCGGCAGCTTGGTCGCGGGCGAAGCGCGCCTCGAAGGCGTTGGCGTGCTTCTGCTTTAGATCGAGTAGGTCGGTGATGGATTCGTAGATGCGCTTGGCTTGCTTGTCCATGCGCTCGAGATCCTTGATATGTGTGTCTACTGTCTTCGTCATATCCTTGAATCGCTTCTTGAGTTCCTGTTGACTCTTGTGCTCTTCACGATATATGTCCGTGATGCTCGTCTCCATGTCCGGTAGTATGGTTTTTTGATCTTCGAGCACCTTTGAAATCATATTGAGCTCGTCGCGAATGTCTTTAGTCTCGGCTAGCAGGTCCGTCTCCGCGCCAATATCCAGTAGTTTATCGACAAAGAGCGGGGCATGGGCGGCCGTTCGGTCGCTGTCACCGTAGTCAAATGCCTCTTCCGGCACTGGAGGGTCAGTCAACGCGTGAGAGTGAGAGTGTGAATGATGTGATGTGTGCCGGCGATTCAGGTGCTCTCTTTGCCTTCCCTCGGCCTCCAAATGTCGCGAGAAGCGATTCGGCCGCCGGTGATGTTGTAGCCAAGCCGAGGCCTGGGCGGACGCTGTGTTGAATTCTTTGAAAAGCATGGTTTCCATCTCGGTAGCATCACCGATGCTTGATTCGAACATATCGAGGAACTGATAGTCTTCGTCGCCAACGCGATGTCTGTCAAATACGCCACTACACCGACCGGTGATGATCATGGCAAGATCGTACACGCTACGCACAGGATCTCTTGTCTTGCTATTGATGTCTTCAATGACTCCATCCAGGACGTTGAGCGGGTCGTTGCGAGGCTGCTGCCATCTTTGAGGGAAGGCTGTCACGATCAAGTCTTTGCCAAGCGTCCACATCCATAACTGATCGACCATGAAGATCTTCGGGTCAACATGTTGCGGCTCGTTCGACTTGCATTGATATCGATAGACGACCTGGTCTCGATCTCGGGATTGCGTGTCGATATTGTGATAGAAGAACTGGTCGAGCGTGCGTCGCACGTGCAGCGAAACTTGTGAGGATGTCAAGTGAGCCCTAAACAGCATCTCGTCATAAGTTGATGCACGGTAATACTGTGGCTTAGAAGTGCCACCCTCGTTCTTCTCCCGCTCTTTCATCTTCTGCGTCCTCGAGATCGCGGCCTGCATCTCTTGCCGCCGCCGATCGGTTTCGAAATGCAGGTATGGCATGAAGGAAAAGATGTTGCCCTTCGCTACGGTTGTTGGATCTTTTCTACCTGGGCTGCCGGGTGACCTGAGATAGCCACTGTTGTTAAGAGAGGAGCTAGTATGTGTTCGTTTCGCCTGGTTTTCTGGACCTCGGGTTGGTGTGTCCGTCCCACCTGATCGCTTGCCTGCTTGTCTCGATCCGCTCCACTTCGGCATCTTCTTCGATTTGTCCTTCGCCTTGCTCTTTCCTTCCTTAACAGTCGTAGGTCCGGAGCCTGTTCCTGCAGTCCCATCCGTATAGTCTGTATCCACGGTACTGGTCCGCACAGGCGTGCGAGGAAATTGCGACGTTGGCATTTCTTGTGAACCAGCTACCGCATCGATACCCAAGCCCATACCGCTATTCACCAGAATCTGGGGGATGAAATCAGCGCCGTCGGAAAGGTCAGAGTCATCGTGCTGTTTTGGTGCACGGGGTGTGCTTTGACATAGCGGTCGCATGAAATGCGAATGAATCTGCTGTCCTCGATGCTGATGACTGAAAGAACGTTCGAGCGCCTTGAAGCCCTCCACATCGCTGGCACCCTCCTCGATGAACGCTTTTGTGAGCAGCGCCTCAACCCAGGCCATGTTATTGGCAGGGAGGTGTATCCATCGGAAGGTTGTCGCCTTTGACTCTTTGGGTAGAATCGCAACCGCTGGCTTTCTCGGGTTGATGGGATCGCGGCCATACAGCAGCTCGAAGACAGTCCTTCTTGAGACCTTGTTTTCGTTATGGAAGTTGCCAAAGTCAACGATCGTAGCATGGAACCCGTTTGTAGCGCCAAGGGCATCTTCGCTAAGCGCTTCGACCTGGTTGTGGGGTGCCAGAGCATTGATGATATCTTTGCGCGCAGGTTTCTTGCTCTGCGCAGCGCGCAAGAACGGCGTGATACCAAATGTATCCTTTGGCGCTCGCTTGATGTCTGCCCTTTCCAAGAGACACTTGACTACGTCAAAGTGACCAGCTTGCGCTGCGACGTGTAAAGGTGTGGTCCCATTGAGTGTTCGCGCGTTGACGTCCGCTCCGGCAGCCAGGAGTATCTTCAGCACCTTTACACTGCCTTGGTCGCAAGCATTGTGAAGGGGCGTCCAGCTTCCGTCACTCTGCGCGCCTACGTCTGCCCCGTTGACTAGTAACAGCTCAATGATGTCGTCTCGCCCGTGTGCGACTGCCAGATGTAGTGCCGTCTTCTGCCTGACTTCCACCGCGTTCACATTCGCTCTCGGCAATCTCGTTCGACGCAAGAGCATCTCGCATAGCTCCTTCTTGCCGGTACTGGCAGCCCAATGCAACGGGCTGCGCTTCTGGTCGTCCTGGCCCTCTGGTCCGTCGATCGCGATATTCTGCTTCAACAGCTCCGCGATGACATCGCGTCCCCAGTTGCAGTGCTTGTCTGCCGCCAAGTTGTGTAATATGTTCCGCCCAGTGTTGTCCTTCTTGTTGACGTCGGCACCGTACCTGAGCAGTTCTTGCATGATGTGGTAGTAGTTCTTCCATGCAGCCGTCATCAGCGCAGTCCGTCCCTGCTTGTCTTGCGCATCCACGTTGCCGCCGAACTTCAACAGCAGTCGTACAATGTCGACACGCTCTTTCTCAATCGCTTTGAACAAAGGCGAGACTCGACCACCTGGGGCGCCGTCGGGCTTCGCGCCGCTCTTGAGGAGGTATTCGGTAATGTAGATGTTTCCGCGTTCGGCTGCGCGCATCAAGCCTATGCGCAGAAGGTGGTCGACGGGTTGCGACTTCGCTTTCGCATGCTCGATAATCGCGATCGCATCCTCGTGTTTACTGTCCTCAATTGCCTTTAGGAGACGCGGTTCGACGCGCGCGTTTTGCGCGGAATCAGCTCCATCGCTGGATCGTGATGATGAGCGACCCATGTTGGCTACATGCTCTGGCTGCGACGACTCGTCGTTCGCAGGCGGTGGTTGGAGTACGAGGGCGGATATTCGTTCGATCGGAGATGAGATGGAGGACGTATCAAGGTCGATAGAAGGGATCGGGTAGGTCGTCGAAAGCCATTCTCAACTAGAGGGCTCCTATTCTTCAGTCTGCGGTCGTACTGCCTTCAGGGCGGTGGATGGTCACACTCAGCCACAGGCCTAATTCGAGCTAAGAACATCCCCGGCTGCGACGTGCATGAGCACACGTGATGATCGGCATCTCGCGATTCGTGATCCATATATTCGTGAAAGTACGTAAAGGTTGACATCTGACTGAATGATGGTGATGGAAGAAGAAGAGCCGAAGTCTAGGATTGCTGGGTTGGAGTGCGTGCCTGGGGATCCGGGTATTGCGGGGACAGAGGTACGCCAACTCACAGCGCGCCCGGGCGGCGTTGACGTCGGCGCGCTATTACTGTGCTTTTTGAATGACTCGACACCGCTTTGTACACATTGCCCATCAAGTGTCACGCGGTTGACTCCTTGGACGCGACATTGACGCGCGAACTTAGCGTGCGCCAGGCGTTTGCCAGCGGATGGTGCAGGTGGTCTCTGCATCTATTTACAGCCATGAAGACCGAGGTCTATAGAACGCGATCGCCATCTGGAATTCACGAGCCAACCGCAACATCTTCAACATTCACACACCCAAAGCGGAAGTGTTCAACACTCTTCTCGCGCTTGTTGATTTTGGTCGCTAGCCTCGCCCTCTTCGCTATGTACAACCAACTAGCTACGTTACGCCCCATGGACACCAAATCAACACGACATACGGACTCGATCTTCATTCCATTTATGTACAATCTGAACCCCAAACATGTTCCACAAGTCATGTGTGGCGTCGAAGGGGTTGACATCAAGATGCCTGTGGATACCGGCTCTACAGGCACTTTGATAGGCGCCCCGATACTTCCGAATATACCTTCTACTGAGGGTACGCCGGCACACCACTTCTTTACAAGCAGCAAAATCCTCTACGTAGGGCGACTGGTCAAGCTTCCGCTACACTTCGGCGGCGAGGATGGCTTATATGCGACTGCAGACGTGCCTGTTCTGATCGTCGACAAGAGTTGGAGATGCCCTTGGTACGATCCCCGTAAAGATCGTTTCGAATGTCCACTGGGTCCACATGGAGAGCAGGCCGAAGAGAGAGACACTTCGCAAATCACCTACATGGGCGTAGGCTTTGGAAGAAACGGTCCAAAAGATGGTATGCCATACGCGACACCAGATATCAACCCATTCTTGAATATCAACGCAGTCGACGGGGAGCCAATACGACAGAGCAACTTGCAATCTGGATACATCATATCGGCCCAAGGTATCCAGATAGGGCTGACGCCGAAGAACACAAAGGGCTTCGCATTCTCTGATCTAGAGCCAGGCCTCACTCATGACAAGGATGCGAGAGATTGGGCCATGGCGAAGATGTGCTTCAGCATCGACGGCCAAGGGCGGAACTGTGGCACTCTACTAGTCGATACGGGCATATCGCAGATGTATATCAGGGCTGACCAGGGCGTTTCGATACCAACTGTCTGGATCCCCAACCCCAACCCAAATGGCCAAGCCAGCAAGTTGAAGCGTGTGAAGCCTGGGACCAATATCATGATTGGGTTTCCGTCGCTGGACCGACCAGCGACTTCCTACTCCTTCGTCGTTGGCCAAAATGCGGCCATCGAACCAACGTATGTGTTTCCACAACCGCCAGAACATCCCCCTTATGTGAACACTGGGCGGAACTTGTTGTTTGGCTACTCGATAGCTTTCGATGCGGTCGGAGGGCGGTTCGGGTTTCGTCCGGCTGGCAATCATGCCTCTTCTGTACTTTAGTCCTCAATCCAAGCCTTACAACAGACTTCACATCGTGCGCTCAGGTCTTCTTCTTCTCTCTGCTCCTTCCCATCCGCTCATCGATGCCAAGTGTGATTCCAAGACCATCTCCTTTACCCAGGCCATCTAGTCATTTGACCGTCATGCTCCTCATTGGGCTGCGGAACCCTTCTCGGAGGTCTTTGTACTCCTCCACGGCCTTGACCACGACACCGTGCGCCTGCTCACTGTCCACGCCAACACCAACCAGAACGATAGCGCCAACGACGCCTTCGACGCCCTTGACGAAGACGGGGTATCCGCCTCCTTCAATGGTATATTTCGACCACTCATCCCCGCTCATAGCATTGTGCTCCGCGAACCTCTTGTAATCGCCCTCAAACTGACAGCTCATGAACCAAGTCGAATGACCCCACCTCAACACGGTGTTGCGCTTCCTCTCCGTCCACTTCTCGTGATCGGGCATTATGCCAGGCAGGCTGGGCGAGTGGAACAGCGTCTGATTCGCAGACGAGATGTGGATAAGCGCGGGGCATTCGGCGGTTCTCAGCGCGTTTCGGAGGATATTGCCAATGACCCAAGCATGTTCGCAGGTAAAGTGGTTGAAAGTAAAGCTCTTTTCCTCTTTGGCCAGTTCGGTCAGGTCGCGCGTTGGTGCTGGGAGCGTGCTGAGCATCTTGTTGGTTGCTTGCGTGTTCGAGTGGGACATGGCGGGCGGGTGGTGGGCGGTTGGCTATAGGTAGGGGATCTTCACATATAGCGCTTGTGTATTATGTACAGGCAGATTGAGATCTAGAAAATAGGGGATGACGCGTCAATGGCGCGACTGGCGGAAGTCGAAACAGAAACACCGCGGACACCGCGGATGGGGCAACCACGCCGTTAGTCGGGTCGTGCCGCTGTCTAGCTCCACCTCGAAACAAGGCTGGACTGCGCGCGTCGCGTATTCATTCCTTCCTGCACTCTGCGCTCCGCTTACAGTTTGTCACGACGCTTGGCTATCATGCCATCTGACTGTTTGGAACATTTCAATCGTTACGCGGACATGTCTCATTCTGGTCCAGGTATGAGACGCTGATTACATGTCCATTACGTCTCTACGTGGTCACCTTGGATAATCCTTTATCCCCTTGGCAAATTAGTAGGATTCAAGTCCTGACCCCCCTCACAGTAAAGTAAAGGAGGTCCATCCGTGTGTATCGGTAACACCTTTCCATCCAGCATCCGTCAAATAATATTTACGTCTCCACTTTCTCCCCAATCCATCCCCTCATAATCTTCCAACCTACCCTTCGTGACTTCAACCAGCCACCTCCTCATTCTCTCCAAAGAAAACCAATCATCATCTTCCTCCACGGTATCAACCCAGACCTTCTTCTCCCGCGACCAGTACGGAGTACCGTGCTTCCCATCGATTACGCTACCAGTTGGTTGCGCACTGTCAAAATCGCCAACAACATAGCGCGTTGGAGTCGCGTCATGATGACCCTTGGGGTACCTGAGGAAGATATTCTGGGGTTTGATGTCCCCATGGACGATGCCCAGACAGTGCAGGTGCCGTATCGCAGAAGCAATAGCTTCTAGGCACTCTCGCACGTGTATAGCGTAACCCCGCTTAACTGCTTCCCAAAGGTCGCAATCGTATTTGTCGAAGACTAATTTTAGAACGCGCTGTTCTTCCATGGGCACTTCGACAGGAGCTCCGCGGTACTGAAACTGAAGCACGCGACTAGTCTGCACACCGTGATATCTGCAGATGTGCTTATGAGGCATCACGCGAAGTTTCTCGCATATCTCAATCTCGCGTGCAGTCGTCTTAGCCACAAAGTCTGGGTAACGGGTATCGCGAATGCGCCGGTGGCCCGCTTGCAGAATGGCATGATGCTTCTTGTAATGCTCCTTCATTTCGCAGCCTTGGACTTCCCAAATGCGCGTGTATTCAGATTTGCACGGTGGGTAGAAGTTGGCTGGGTTGACTTGCTCAGGGGTCAAAGTGTTCTCACGGTCTATCCAGGTTGAAGGGTCGACATGGTTGATCTCCCGATCGGATAAGACGCCCTTCTTGATGGCATGGTAAAGTTTTCCGTCTTTGTGTGCTAGCACCCAGGTTTCGGACAAAGAATCCTTGGATACAACGCGATGGTCTACGATCTGCATCGACGGATGAGGTAGGTCGTCTTTGCTGACGCCCGTGAATCCGGCAATATACTTGAACATAATGACCTGGCCAGGGTATTTGATCCGGATAGTTCATCGAGGAACATTTGGTTGAATGCGAGCACCAACAGATATCTTCCAGCAAAGTCGATTAACTCTTGTATTGTATAAGAACAGAGTCGCAACACGAGGTACAGCTCAGTCATTCACTGTAAAGATGTAGCCCAGCTATGTGAGCATCAGTTGGGCATACTGGAAACTGTGTTGGAGCGACTACAATGTGCAGCAGTGCCAGCTCCTCACAGAGTGCATCAGTGCATCATAGTGCCAGCTGGAACATGCCATCGTGGTCTCAAAGCCTTCACAGCGCATCCCTTCACTACATAGACAAACAGGTCAGACATCTTTCCCTCCACCAATCTACCAAACATCTTCCATTCCAAGGATATTTCGAGTTTCCCCACGATGGCGCCTCAGGCCGCTGCCCGCAGCAACGACCTAATCCTCCAAAAATCACGCATCTCCGGCACAACCCAACGGGCCCTCTTCCGCTCAAAAAAGTACCCAGGACTATGGTACGCCGAAACCGCCATCCCAGACGACAACAGCAAGCCCGACCCCAACCCATATACCTGGGACATCCCCCCACGCAAAATCAACCTCTCAAACGCGCGACCCACCTACAAAAAAGGCGCCATGACCTCCGCCAAGTACGCAACAAAAGGCCATCTCTACGCCAAACAAATGGACTACCTGCGCTACTATCGAGAACTCTTCGGGCACCCTTACTGGATCAAAGACATCATGATCCGGGAAATAGCAAACTGTGAAGTGCTACGCAAGAACCCACATCCGAATATCTGCCGCTACATCGGCGTGAACTACGGCATGGACCAAGGTATCACCGCACTGCTATTCCGGCGCTACGATACCACGTTGTGGGATCTAATAGTCGAGTCCCGGGTCTTCGACGCAGAAAAGTGTATCCAAGGTATCCGAAAAGGGATCCAGCATATCCATTCACTGGGGTACGTGCACTGCGACATCAAGCCGCCGAACATCTTCGTTGACACGCGGACGCAGAGTTTTGTAGTCGGCGATTTCGATTCCATGCAGAAGCAAGGCGCGGGGCTGAAGTATAAATGCGGTACGGATGGGTGGGCGCTGGATAGAGCGGGGACGAGTGGGTATATGGTGAATGTAGAGCAGGATTGGTTTGGGTTCGATATGGTGAGTGCGTGGGTGAGGGAGAAAGGGAATGGGAAGCCAGTGCAAGGGAGCGTGTATGCTAAGACAGATGATATTCTGGCGAGGGCGAAGAGGGCGTATGAAGTCAAGCGGCAGGCGGAGAGGTTGAGGAAGCAGACGGAGGATTTGAAGAAGAAGGCGGAGAAAGTGAGGAGGCAGGAGGAGGTTAAGAGGTCGGTCAAGGAGAAGGCGGATGCTGTAAGGAAAGTGCAGGCTGCGAGGAAGGTTCTCGTCACGGAGAAGGCGAAGATTATACCGAAGGCGGAGGCTTCGGAGAAGATTGAACAGGCGAAGAAAGCAGCTGCGGTGAAGCCTACATATGCCAATGTAGTAGCGAAACGCGATCCCGAGCCAACAAAGAAGCTGCAAGTGCCGAAGAAACTGAGGGTACAACCGCCGTCGTAAATGTCAACCTCGCCGATCCACGTTGTTCATGAAAGAAAAAGCTGAACACCATAGAGCATAGGTTGACGTCAGATCATCTATTTTGCATACTTTCATCTTGATGCAGGCTGCAGACCTGTTCCGATTTGTCCTCGTATGAGGTGGATCGATCAGCAGAGCAAGATGTGACGAGGCGCAAAAGAACGGGTATCAATTAACCTATGCGTACGCCATGAGATGCTTAGTCCTTTTCTCCATCATGCAAACTATACGTACAATCCTTCCCCTCATTTCTCTTTCCTGCCCACGCAGTGAGAATCTTCAGTCTGCTGCCCAATCCAATCCCAAACTTAATCGCTATCACTCCCGTAATCCACCAACGGCCCCGCAACAGGCGCAGGCCGTTTATTCGACGGCGTAGCCTTGAAGCCCTTGAGCGCCGCTAGTGTAGAGCCCGATAGAATGCCATTGGCCTGCTGCTGCGCAGCTGAGCTTTCATCTTGTTGGTACTGTTGTGCGGCGGCGCCGTCATCTTGGTATGCCGACTCCCCACCCTCAATCATCATGCGCTCGCCCATGCCACCGGATTCGAGCTGCTTGGCTGCATCCCACTCGCTCTTCTCCTTCGCGTACCAGACGTCATCTGGTGCTTCGTAGCCCTGTAGTCCAAAGCTACCTTCTACCTTCCTGCGCTTCTTGCTGTCGGGGTCTCTGCCTTCGAGTTCGGCGACGTAGGCTGCAGGGAGGGCTTTTCGAATCGCCTCGGCGGCTTGTTCCTCGATGCGACGGGCTTCGCGCTTTGCGGCTTGTGGGTTGGGGTCAACGGTCGCCCAGCGGACGTTTAGGATTTCGTTGTTGTCAAAGGATTGGTGGGCCATTGCTTCTTTGGCGAATTGCGAGTTGGCTTCGTTGACGTAGGTGACGAAGGCTACGCCGCGCGCTGTCAGGACACGCGTTCGCTCGATCTCGCCCCATTCTTGCATGTGTCGCGACACGATCTCCTCGATGTCGTCTGTGGGATGTATGCGCCCGATGTATAGCGTTCGGTTTTGTCGTTGGAAGGTTCCTACACCGCCCATGTCGTCTCGGTAGTCTGCATGCTTGTCGCGCCCAAAGCAATCGACGTTGCTCGGGAAGAGGTCTGTGACGGTCGGCAGGCGATGGAGGTACTCGCAGTCCACACCCTTCGGGCAGATGCCACGCGCAAAGAA